CTTCCTTCCTTCCTTCTTTCTTTCTTTCTTTCTCTCTCTCTCTTTCTTTTTTTTAAAGATTTATTTATTATGTATACAGTATTCTGCCTACATACCAGAAGAGGGCGCCAGATCTCATTACAGATGGTTGTGAGCCACCATGTGGTTGCTGGGAATTGAACTCAGGTCCTCGGGAGGAACAGCCAGTGCTCTTAACCTCTGAGCCATCTTAATCATTTCCTCAGGTTGTATAAACATACACATATGGCTTAATAGCAGATGTGTGTCTTACTGTATTTAAGGAATTCAACATAACAAACACTAACAAAAATTTTCACTATTTGGGGGCTAGAACCTGGGTCCTTGGCCAATGAAAGCTTGAGGTTAGCATGCCAGTATTTCCTAGGTCTAAGGGCTGGGAAGACAGGGTTGACCACGCTGGAAAGAGTAATGGCCAAGACATAGTCATAATAAATAAAGGCTACTCTCTACCCACAAGTCCATGAGCATTCTCTTCACTCCCAAGAAGATACTCTGGTCTCTCCTACTACCTACATGTGTTCCTCCCTGCAGGAGGAAGGTAGTCACCTGATTAGCTAGGTTGGATCTATTGCTGTCTCTGCCCATCCTCTCCCACTGCTGCGGGGCTATGTGGTAAGTTAGGAATAATCTGTGAGACATCCTGTGAGACATCCTGTCCATTCCCATGGCCAGGAAACTTCTCGGAAGAATCCTTATAACTCTTGTTCCAGATGTTGGAAATGCCAGCCAACCAGCGGGAGCACTGGTAACTGTTTGGATCGAGAAATGACCCCCAAGGATAAAAGTGCTAAATTTTTAGGAGCATAGATTCCCAAAACATTGCAGAGTTCTGTATCAGTGTTGATATGCCTACATCTTGAAAATTGAAATCATGCCACTGTTAGGGCTTAGAGGAAAAGTTCCCTGATTCTGGCTACAGGATAGACCTTCTTCAGTGTGTGCACTTATCTGTACAGGAGCATGCCTGTGTGCACACACACACACCCATACACTGTCCCCCTACACACACTTTATACCTGGAGCATGCCTGTGTGCACACACACACCCATACACTATCCCCCTATACATACTTTATAGCTAACTCCAACTTTTACTTCTCAACATATTTTGGATTGATAAAGAACAGGGTGGATTAACATATGCAAACACTATTTGTTTTCAGGGTATTTATTATACTAGGGACTGAAATTTGCTTAGAGAGTAATGAAGAATCTGGGATAGAATGGAATAAAGCGCACCCTAGAGAGGCCCAGTTACAAAGTGTTCTGTGCTGGAAACTCAAGGCCTTTGGCTTTAACTTGTAATATCAGAGAAGCAGCAAGAGAGTCTTTGAGTTTTTTATATTTATTTTTCAAGAGAGTCTATGACTATGGCTCTATTTGTTTGTTTGTTTTTTTTTTTTTCTAAGTAACATTGACAGGACTGTGTAACTAGATAACTCAAAGAAAGAGTTAAGTGAGAGTGTAGGCGTGATGCTCCAGACTTGATGGAGGCTGTGTAACAAGGGCAGCAGTGATGGAGAGACATCGGAGATGCTAAGGGGTAGAAGCAGTAAGACGCGTGGGCCCTGATGCCACCAAGGCACTGCCTGCCTCCACCAGGCCCTGGATGACGGTGTGAGACAATACATCTGCACTGTGGTTAAATGCAATCATGTTGGTTTTCCTTTATAAGTAGCCGAATGCAATCCCTAACTGATGCAGGTGGATGTCAATACTATGACTTAAAGGGGAGGAAATTAGGCGGGTGTAAAAGCAAGCTGTTTTTTCAGAGGTGGGAAGATAACAAATGCTGAGGAATAATCCTTTACCCTGGGATCAAACTGAAATTGTTGCAAACAAAAAATAAACTGCAAAACTCTAATTTGGTTTTTATTGGATGGCAGTGCAAGTACTTGAAATTAAAATGTGTTTATGATATTTGAAACTACATTCATATGAGTGTGTGTGTGTGTGTGTGTGTGTGTGTGTGTGTGTGTGTGTGTGAATGCACATGTATGTTCATGTCTGTGTATGCCAGAAATTTATATTTGGTATCTTCCTCAAATGCTCTCCACCTATTTTTTGAGGCAGGATCTCTCACCAAATCTGGAGCTTGTTGACTGGCATCTGGTTGGACTGGAAGCCCTAGGAATCCTCCCTTCTCTTTCTCTTCAGGGCTGGGAAGCCCTTGACTGTTTTGTTTGTTGTAATGTAGATGGAGAGCCCAACTCAGCTCCATATGCTTGTGTGGAAGACACTTTACCAACGGAGGCATCGCCCCGGCTTCTGTAAACTGCATTTTAAGTGAAACTTTGATCAAAGAAATTGTAAAAATATATGTTGTAAGTAATCACTGCCTTGATTCAGAAGTGGAAACTTTTATCCCTCTCTCTTCTTTATTTCTTCTGCATCTTGGTTTTAATATCGAGGTTTATATTTTGCGTCGTAATGAGGGTTTAAAATTCAGTCTTGGTTCTTTCTGCTGAGCACCATGTTTCATTTTATTTATTTGCAGAATGGAAGATAAAGCTTCACAAATGTAGGTGCTTCCAAATAGCCTTGGCACGGTGGTTTTCATGTTTTGGGATAATAAATCGGAGACATTCGTCAAGTCCCGACACCCCCCAACTCAGTCACATTTGCTTTTTTGTGTGTATTTTCCATTCATACCCTTTAACTCCCAACCAGTCTTCCTGCGGAAAAGGAAGCCAAACAGTATTGGCTCCTACATAGAAAGTTTGAAAATGCTTTTGGGGAATTTACTCCTTGAGCCTAGAATTTGGGGGCTGTAAGTCTTGTTGTTCCTTGTAGTTTTGAAAACCAATTTTAGCATAAGAAGGCAAGCCAGACAATCTTGGCCAGATTTCTCTTTACAAAGACCCAGTTTTGTTAAGAACAAGAAAATCGGTGCCTGGGTCCAGCCAGGACCCCATCCCTGGCCACCAGCCACTCCTGAGA